CTATAATAATTTTTTTCTGGTCCGTAAATTTTTCCGCAGAGTCCACCTGTATTTAATAATTTACCGAGAGTGACGAAAATCTGGAGCTCGATTGTGAACTTGTGGAATCAGATAAAATGTTAATGCCAAAGACAATAATCTGAGCTCTCCCAGAAATTTAAATACAGATTTTCTATCGCAAAGATGCGTGATTTTTCTTCGAAATATGAGAAAAATCCTTCTCGAAGTAAGAGTATGTGTATTTTCAATATTTCAGAAGGGTCAGAATTAATTCACAGATTTAATTCCTCACCTGCCATGATACAATTACGGAACCTCGCTAAATTCATCTGCTAGTGATTCTTCGTGAGAATAGTTTTGCTGGGGGATAAATATTGCATAACGTTGTGCCAGAAAATGTTCTACTGGGTGTATATTTCTTAGAAACACAAATAAGGAATGTAATGTAATAAAAGCCTCATCCATAGTAGTTATAGCATTTGTAAAAATCGTTCCAGTCGCAGAAAAAGCGCATTCTAAAGTCACTGATTGAAAAGACCAGTTGATGGAGAACAATGTTTATTCTTTCTGGCCCGTAAAGTCAAATCAGTCGATCCTCCCCATCCTGATGACTAACATTTAATAATAATAATAATAATTACAAGCGTACTCTTATTCGAGTCCACCCCGAGAAGAAAAATAAAAGGCAAAGGGTTCTTCCGACAGGGTTATTAGCAGGGAATTGGATCGAGAGTTCGGCTTCAGTGTGGCTGCGTGTTCTTTGCCGAGAATCCCGACCAGCTCTTCTTCTGTTCCCCGTACCATGAATTCATGTTTGTACGCTATATGTATGGAGAATGAATTATCAACTGTTGGGAGAAAAATTCATGATTTCGTCCAAACTCTAATTTCCCTGATATTTAGAAGAACGAAACAGTACCTGTTGTGTCGCTTCGACAATAGGAACCCCATGATGGGATTGTGGGCGATAAACACTTAATAAAACAATATTCAGGTGACATTCGGAGTATATGAGCCCCACCCACGCAGTAAGCTCGAATTACTTCCCAGATATTTGAATGATGGTGAGAAATAGCATTTTATCAACCCTTGGAGCAAATTTAACAGCCAAAAACCAAGTAATTCATATACGTGTTGACTCCCGATCTACGACGATCTTGTCTGCATAACAATATTCTCGGTGCGACTACTTTTTTTTAGCACCATAGGATTCTCTTGTCATATTTTAGAGGTTATCTATTACGAAATTCTCTCAAGGACGCATTTTTTCTGTTTTTTTTTTGCGTTTCGATGTAGAGATAGTCCTCGCTGAATTCATCTGCGCTAGTGATTCTTCGTGAGATTAGTTTTGCTGGGGGTAAATATTGCTTAACGTTGTGCCAGAAATTTTGCTAAAGGGTGAATGCTTCTTAGAAACACAAATAGGGAAGGTACTGCAATAAAAGCCTCATCAAGACTGTATAGCATTTGTAAAAATCGCTCGAAATCTGCCAATATACCGCTATTACTGATCAGGGTTGACGTTTGAGGCTTCAAGCTTGTAAAAATTTAATTTCCGATGGCCAGACATGAACAGATTATTAAGGCGAAAATTCAAATTTCGCGAATAATGATCTATAGTTATACTGTATTGCTTTTAATATAATTTTGTTTTTGCACATCCCGATTTGGATTCTCCTTCAATATTCTGATTTTTTGTCGAAACAGACGTTTCTGATGGAGATATTGAAGTGAATTTGCTACACGAGCAGATTTCAGAACTTCTGGTCTAACAGAACTTGATCATTTCATGAAATTAAATGCTTCTCTGCTATTTTCAGTTTTAGAATCACTGTGACGATCACATGCATATTGTAAAATCAACTAATGTGCTTATTTTATTGCATCCCTTGTACTGTGGGTCTTTAATAATAATAAAAAAAATTATGAAGCGATTCTGAGGCAGTACTTATCGTTTCGCAACAGTTGAGTGCCTAAACCATCCAACGCAGAAAATACATGCAAAAGACCACCCTCACATCGTCACGATATCGCGCATTCTTTGGCAAGACAAGTGAACATTTTTCATGAGGTTGCAATCAGAAAGCATTCCATGATGAGAAATAGATTTCCATGACGGGTTTTAGCCAATAAAAACTATGCCTAACCTGAAAGAACGCTATCAAAAAGGAACATGTTTCAGTACTTGTATTTAGGTTGAAATTCTATTTCCAATTTTTTTCATGAAAACTATAAATGCCACCTTGCTGCCTAAAATACTCAGAGTTGGTCTAATTCCCAGTTATAACTAAGCTTGTTTTTTATAAATTCCTTTGCTTTTGATTATTTTGATCGGTATACTGTATATTGATCAAATAAAAGTGTATGCCATGTTTGAAGCGTGAAGTACAATTTGAATAAAAATTAGAGACAGCGAATGACTGAAAATACTTAATTAATTTTTCAAAATACTGTATTCCAGCAGGTAATCAAAGTTTACATCGTAATTCAGCTGAACAAATGATGCTGAAGACCTCGAGACTGCATTGAAAATTACGTTGCACATTCAAACCTAACTTGGCACCTNCATCGTAATTCAGCTGAACAAATGATGCTGAAGACCTCGAGACTGCATTGAAAATTACGTTGCACATTCAAACCTAACTTGGCACCTCATAAAATATCACACTACAGTACAATGGGTTCTCAGCTTATGAACTTGATTGGTTCCTGAACAAAGTTTTTTAGCTGAATATAGTTTGTAAGCCGAATCACATTTTCCGTCAAGGAAGTTTAGGAATAATTTTAATTGGTTCCAGAACCTTGAAAACGCCCATAAAATTCAAGAAAATGCATCCTAAAAAACTATTTTCAGGCCTAAAATCCATTACATCTTCTTGAGAAAATATAAGAGGAACTCGCAGCTGTAAAACAATCCATAGAAGTGAAAGTTCGATGTGAGTTTCTCCAGAGGTTTCTTCTTGAAAATTTTATATGCAACATCACAAACTTATTCACAGACCAAGGACTCAAGATGGAAAATGTTAATGCTAAAAAGCTGTTGAATTTTAACTCCTTTAGAATGAATAAAAAATTGGTGATCAAGAATCGGTCACACTTTTGAGACATTCTTAGATGAATTAATGAATAAGTTTAAGCATGAACCCCTGTATTTTGCTAAAGAAATATTTTTTGAATTGCGGGCATTTGGAAAACTCAAAGTTTGTATGCTTCCAATTTGTTAGCCGATGCACTTGAGGCCAAAAATAACAGTTTCTTCCAGCTGAAAAGTTTGTAAACCAGTGCATTTGTAAGCCGAGACCCGACTGTACCTTTTTTTATCATTTGAATGTACTTTAATGTGATTTACCTGGAATCAAAACGTTGTAGAAAAATCCGTAGCCTCCATTGACTCCGTTGTCCTCGAGTTCAACTGCTAACCAAGTGTTGGGCTCAAAAATAGCGACAAACGTGGCATGCGAGTCATAAATTTCATCCCCGAGGAGAACTTCGTAATGCGTGCCATTCGGCGAAATTGCGTGTACCTGAGAATGCAAAAATTAAATCACAGTCAACCAGCAGAAGGAAAAAAACGAACAAAAGAATAAATTATTCACGAGTTTTGTATGATGTTGGTGTAAAAGGGAGTGGAGAATTATATCAAGTTTTGCTACTGAACCCAATGTCAGGGGAATTCTGACTCAGAAAATTTGGTTTACTCAAAAAACATCATTTTAATTTGAAGGACAGACTCAATTTTTAAAAATAAATTTATTCTTCTTTTATCTGCCTGTGCATTGCTGATCATAGTGACTCACCAGCAAGTTCCCACCCTTTAGCCAAATGCCCATGAGCTCTGACTGCAGCATTTTGAACCAAGGAAGAACAACATTGCGCTCAATGATGTAGTAATTGGCTGAATATAGGCTCCGT